CACACACACACACACACACACACAGACACACACACAGACACACACACACACACACACACACACACACACACACACACAGACACACACACAGACACAGACACACACACACACACACAGACACACACACACACACACACACAGACACACACACACACACAGACACACACAGACACACACAGACACACACAGACACACACACACACACACACACACACACACACACACACACACACACACACAGACACACACAAACACACACACACACAACACACACACACACACACACACACACACACACACACACACACACACTCAGCATACACACACAAACACAGAAGAAACATGTCTCTCTCTAACAGTGTAAAACAGAACGGACCCTCAAGGGTTAATAAAGTCCGGAGGTAAAAATCTGAGAGTGTTTCAGTCATCTCCATAAGACACCGTCACACACACACAGTCGCTCTCCTCTAGCTTCACACACTTCTCCAAATGTTTACAACTTTCTTAAAAACCTCACACCGTCTGCAGGACGGCGCCTGAAATATTTGATGGTTGAAAACTATAAATCACCAAATACTGTGCCTGTAGGACTTCTTCTATTTCTGTTGCCGTGGTTACAAACTGGTATGGATATGGTTTCATTTTTACAAACATCCTATTGAAGGTGCAACATGTTTTATTTTGAAAAGCCGTCACCTGCAGAAAGTTTCAGGTTGGAAACAGCGTGTCCATGTTGTCTGCAGATGTGAAGAAACGTCTTCAAATAAGAGTCCACCACAGCCGATACAACACGTGTGACACTCTGACTGTTAGGAACTTTGAAATGTAAAGTTTAAACGTCCTGAAGCTCGACATAAAAAACTGTGATCAGGTCATACTCACACTGTAACGCCGTGTTCAGTCCCAGTCACAGAGTTCAGAGCTGTTTGTGGCTGCACACACTTGTTGTCCTCCTTGAAGCGCTGCTTTCTTTCCCCCACACACACACACACACACACACACACACAGGGAGAGAGGGTGAAATGAGGGGGTTGGGGGTGAGAGGGGAACGTGGAGGTGAGGGGGGGACATTTTATAAACATCATCAGAGGGAAGAATCAGAGAGCAGTTTGAATGTCAGAGAGTCGGAGACGATGAAGAGTTTCACCCTCAGAGATAATCTGTCACATTACAATACAAACATCTCACTCTGTGATCTACTGTCACACCTTAAACACCCCCCACCCCCCCTCTTTGTAGAGTGTAATGGTTCAGTCCGCTGTGTGAGACCATTCAACACCAAACTGACCCCCCAGCTTCTTTTCTCCTCCTCCTCCTCCTCTTCTCTCCTCATCCCTTTATGAAGCTAATGAGACTGGGCCCCTCTTTACAGAGGCAAGCGAGGGGGAGAGGTGTGTGTGTGTGTGTGTGTGTGTGTGTGTGGTGTGTGTGTGTGTGTGTGTGTGTGTGTGTGTGTGTGTGTGTGTGTGTGTGTGTGTGTGTGTGTGTGTGTGTGTGTAAGCAGGGATCTATCCTCTGTGACGTCACCCATCAGCTCGTCTGTTGCCTCTTAAAGCTTTTAGCTCCATCATATTTTTATTAAACCTACACATGACCATGAATGGATAAGGGGGGAGTTGAACAGTTGAAAAAATCTCAAAAATACATCCCGAGGTTAAAGTTTAGTGACTGAATTAACTGAGGTGACACCTAGTACACAGCTAGCTTAGCTCCCACCTGTTACTTAAAGAGGCCTCGCCCCCTACTTCTTAAAGCTTTAATATAATGTAAACAGGTGAGTTGTATAAACATTCAGCCCGTACAGTTGAAGAGAGAAATGAGCTCTAGAGACCCAAACTGTTTTTATACCAGACTGTAAACATGTTTATTTTAACATGGAGCTCTATGGGGACTGACTCACTGCAGGACACAGACTCGAGTGGACACTGGAGGAACTGCAGGTTTATGGTACTGAGTGTTTCTCTCTGGAGTCAGTTTTATCCAGAGAGATCCAAAATTTCTGGGAGATGCCGACCAGAGAAAGAGAGGGGGGGGGGGTTGGGTTGTCGTTGGTAACAGGACAGTGGGCAGCTGTGGACGTGAAGAGAATGCAGATTTCTGATTGGTCAAACCTTTGAATGTAAATAATAACAATGTGTAAAATAAACAACACCCATTGATGATGACTGCTCCTGTTCCACATAACGACTGTGACGGGTATTTGACTTTTTTTTTTATGGTCAGCATAAACAGTCTCAGAGTCTGTGATGGTAACAGGCGTAAAGGAAGCTTTAATATTTATTCCTGTTTGTTGCCACGGCAACAAAGATAGAAGTCCAAGATGCTTAATATTAGATAATTTATTGTTTTTAATTATCAAAGATTTCAGACGAACTCCTGCACGCTGTCAAATTGTACAGATAAGTTGGCAATGAATGTAAAAGTTGGTGAAACTGGAGAGGAGCACGGAGAGATTCACCCGCTTGTCTAAACATTTCTCTCTCTTTGCTTTTGGCTGAAACTATAGCTGAAGGTTTTTTTTAAACTTTAGCACCTGTTGACACTATGGTTTTATTTTTTAAAGATGTTGACAACCTTCATGAGGTCAGACTTGGTTGTTGTTGTTTGTTCCTGCAGGTTCAGGCTACAGATGCAGATCAGGGAGAGAACGGCAGACTGCTGTACCGGATCCTGAGCGGTGAGTTTAAAACAAGAAGAACAAGCGAAATCCTTTCGTCTGATTGGACGATTCCTGCACTGAAATAATCCTTTCATACTTACATACTGTGTGTGTGTGTGTGTGTGTGTGTGTGTGTGTGTGTGTGTGTGTGTGTGTGTGTGTGTGTGTGTGTGTGTGTGTGTGTGTGTGTGTGTGTGTGTGTGTGTGTGCGTGCGTGCGTGCGTGTGCGTGTGTGTACAGGTAACAGTAACAGTCTGTTCAGTATCGACCGTCAGTCCGGTCTGCTGACTCGGGGTGTCAGGTCTCTGGACAGAGAGACGAGCAGCTCGCACGTGTTGGAGGTGGAGGCGTTCAACAGTGACGAAGGCAGCATGAGGAGTTCCGTCAGGGTGAGGAGGGGGAGGAGGAACTGTTAGGGTGAAGAGGCAGTACACCTGTATTCACCTGTATATGTTATGTAATGTGATGACTGCACACCTGTATTCACCTGTATATGTAAGGTGGTGATGTTACCCCCTGCAGGTGATCATCTACGTGGACGATGCTAACGACGAGGTTCCCGTCTTCACTCAGCAACAGTATAACCGTCTGGGCCTCAGAGAGACGGCTGGCATCGGCACGTCGGTGATCGTGGTGCGAGCCACCGACCCGGACAGCGGTGAGTGTGACATCATCAGACTAGGAGGCGGAGCATCATATCAGGCGTTTTTGTTAACTCCTACGTTTCAGGTTTTATCCTCTGTACACGAAACACAAAGAGATGTTTATCTGACTGAGGCACTAATGCTGCTGCTGCAGTTCACTGGTCCTTCCACCAGGGGGAGCCAAAGCTAAAGGAGAGTAGTGAACCTCCCATCAGAGCCTGGAGTTGTTTACTCTGGGTGTATAACAAGGTGTATTTCAATGTGTGGTTCTGCTTCTCAGCTCTCTTCCTCTCTTCACTTCCTGTTTTAAGAATTTCCACGGTGACTCATGAAGCTGTGTGGAGCTCATTCAATGCAAATATCCAATATTATAACTCACAACATGTTTGTTGACATAAGAGTCCTGCAGACACCGAAGTAGACTTTAAAGGAGCAGTATGCAGCTCTGACACCTAGGGTTTAAAATGTGTACTACAGTCCAAATTCTAAACATTGGAGAGAGCTTATTAGAAACATGCAGAGGCGTTTTAGGTCGGCGTCCAAAACGGCTGTGTGGGGGTGCCTTAACACCGCCTACCTTCTCTGGTCCAAACAAATCCTTTTAACAAACATTGCCGATGTTTTCGAGCTCTTTAGATGTGCAGGAGTCTGCGTTATTCGATCATTAAAAACAATAGATATCTAAAAATTTTATTTTACGTGCCGCGGTATCACACAGGTATCAGAGGTTACATTCTGCTCTCTGATCGATAAAAAGATGATCGAACCCCTGAGATAAATACAGAGCGGATTCTTGGTTTGTTTGTATTTTTGACATCACCTTCCTTGTTTCTCTCTCAGGTGATGGAGGTGCCGTGGCATACACCCTGGTTTCAGGTTCGGACAGGAAGTTCGAGGTGGACGTGAGCACGGGTCTGTTGACCACAGTGGATTACCTGGACTACGAGACCAAGACGTCGTACCTGATGAATGTGTCGGCCACGGATCAGGCCCCGCCCTTCCACCAGGGGTTCTGCACAGTGTACGTGACTCTGCTTAACGAGCTGGACGAGGCTGTGGCATTCTTCTCGGCCGGGTACGAGGCTTCTCTGAGGGAGAACATTGCCACAGGAACCGAGGTGGTCCAGGTCCAGGCCCAGTCCGCAGACAACCTGAACCAGCTGACTTATCGATTCGACCCCGACACATCGCCGGCTGCTCTGGCCCTGTTCAAGATCGATAGCGTCACGGTGAGGGGCGGTGGGAAGGGGTGGGAGGAGACAGTGAGACATTGAGACAGTGATGCAGTGTGGCAGTGATGCAGTGTGACGAAGACACATTGAGAAAGTGATGCAGTGAGACATAGAGACAGTGATGCAGTGAGACATTGAGACAGTGATGCAGTGATGCAGTGAGACAGTGATGCAGTGAGACAGTCAGAGATGCAGTCAGTGATGCAGTGTGACATAGACAGTGGGAAGGTGATGCTGTGAGACACTGAGACAGTGAGGAAGTGAGACAGTGAGACATTTAGTCAGTGAGAAATTGAGATATTGAGACAGTGAGACATTGAGCCAGTGAGACAGTGATGCAGTGAGACAGTGAGACAGTGATGCAGTGAGACAGTCAGTGATAAAGTCAGTGATGCAGTGTGACAGCGAGGGATTGATACAGTGAGAAAGTGATGCAGTGAGACAGTCAGTTATTCAGTCAGTGATGCAGTGTGACACAGAGACAGTGAGAAAGTGATGCAGTTAGACATTGAGACAGTGATGCTGTGAGACATTGAGACAGTGATGCAGTGAGACATTGAGACAGTGATGCAGTGATGCAGTGAGACAGTGATGCAGTGAGACAGTCAGAGATGCAGTCAGTGATGCAGTGTGACATAGACAGTGGGAAGGTGATGCTGTGAGACACTGAGACAGTGAGGAAGTGAGACAGTGAGACATTTAGTCAGTGAGAAATTGAGATATTGAGACAGTGAGACATTGAGCCAGTGAGACAGTGATGCAGTGAGACAGTCAGTGATAAAGTCAGTGATGCAGTGTGACAGCGAGGGATTGATACAGTGAGAAAGTGATGCAGTGAGACAGTCAGTTATTCAGTCAGTGATGCAGTGTGACACAGAGACAGTGAGAAAGTGATGCAGTTAGACATTGAGACAGTGATGCTGTGAGACATTGAGACAGTGATGCAGTGAGACATTAAGACAATGAGAAGGTGATGCAGTGTGGCAGTGATGCAGTGTGACGAAGAGACGTTGAGAAAGTGATGCAGTGAGACAGTGAGACATTGAGATGTTGAGACAGTGAGACAGTGATGCAGTGAGACATTGAGTCATTGAGATATTGAGACGGTGAGACATTGAATCAGTGATGCAGTAAGACAGTGAGACATTAAGACAGTGAGACAGCGATGCAGTGAGACAATGAGACAGTGATGCAGTGAGACAGTGAGACAGCGATGCAGTGAGACAGTGATGCAGTGAGACTGTGAGACAGTGATGCAGAGAGACAGTGATGCAGTGAGACAGTAATGCAGAGAGACAGTGATGCAGTGATGCAGAGAGACATTGAGACATTGAGACAGTATTGCAGAGAGACAGTGATGCAGTGAGACATTGAGACAGTGAGACAGTGATGCAATGAGACATTGAGACTGTGAGACATTGAGACAATGATGCAGTGAGACATTGAGACAGTGATGCAGTGAGACCTTGAGACAGTGAGACATTGAGACAGTGATGCAGTGAGACATTGAGAAAGTGATGAAGTGAGACAGTAATGCAGAGAGACAGTGATGCAGTGAGATAGTAATGCAGAGAGACAGTGATGCAGTGAGACATTGAGACAGTGAGACAGTGATGCAGTGAGACATTGAGACAGTGAGACAGTAATGCAGAGAGACAGTGATGCAGTGAGACATTGAGACAGTGAGACAGTGATGCAGTGAGACATTGAGACAGTGAGACAGTAATGCAGAGAGACAGTGATGCAGTGATGCAGTGAGACATTGAGACAGTGAGACAGTGATGCAGTGAGACTGTGAGACAGTGATGCAGTGAGACAGTGATGCAGTGATGTAGAGAGATGCAGTGAGACAGTAATGCAGAGACAGTGATGCAGTGATGCAGAGACATTGAGACAGTGAGACATTGAAACAGTAATGCAGAGAGACAGTGATGCAGTGAGACATTGAGACTGTGAGACATTGAGACAATGATGCAGTGAGACATTAAGACAGTGATGCAGTGAGACTTTGAGACAGTGAGACATTGAGACATTGAGACAGTGATGCAGTGAGACATTGAGAAAGTGATGAAGTGAGACAGTGATGCAGAGAGACAGTGATGCAGTGAGACATTGAGACAGTGAGACATTAAGACAGTAATGCAGCGAGACAGTGATGAAGTGAGACAGTAATGCAGAGAGACAGTGATGCAGTGAGACATTGAGACAGTGAGACAGTGATGCAGTGAGACATTGAGACAGTGAGACAGTAATGCAGAGAGACAGTGAGACAGTGATGCAGTGAGACTGTGAGACAGTGATGCAGTGAGACAGTGATGCAGTGATGCAGAGAGATGCAGTGAGACAGTAATGCAGAGACAGTGATGCAGTGATGCAGAGACATTGAGACAGTGAGACATTGAAACAGTAATGCAGAGAGACAGTGATGCAGTGAGACAGTAATGCAGAGAGACAGTGATGTAGTGATGCAGTGAGACAGTGAGACAGTGATGCAGTGAGACATTGAGACAGTGAGACATTGAGACAGTAATGCAGAGAGACAGTGATGCAGTGAGACAGTAATGCAGAGAGACAGTGATGTAGTGATGCAGTGAGACAGTGATGCAGTGAGACTGTGAGACAGTGATGCAGTGAGACAGTGATGCAGTGAGACAGTGATGCAGTGAGACTGTGAGACAGTGATGCAGTGAGACAGTGATGCAGTGAGACTGTGAGACAGTGATGCAGAGACAGTGATGCAGTGAGACAGTAATGCAGAGAGACAGTGATGCAGTGATGCAGTGAGACATTCAGACAGTGAGACAGTGATGCAGTGAGACTGTGAGACAGTGATGCAGTGAGACAGTGATGCAGTGAGACATTGAAACATAGAGACAGTGAGACAGTAATGCAGAGAGACAGTGATGCAGTGAGACATTGAGACAGTGAGACAGTGAGACAGTGATGCAGTGAGACAGTGAGAAATTAAGACAGTGAGACAGTGATCTGTGTGTGTTTTCAGGGTCGTATCACGGTGACCGGTCAGCTGGACAGAGAGAGAGGAGACACATACTCTCTGACTGTGGTCGCTGATGATGGCGGACCAAAGAAAGACTCCACCGTGGTACGATACAACCTAGATTATTACATTATTATATATTATATTTATTATAACATACACTCTCAGTCATTTAATTATGAGTGCTGTCAAATGATTACAACAGTTAATCATGATTAATCATATTTTACTCGCATGTTTTAAATTCCATTATTTTACATTTAAAAATAAAAACTTGTTAGGCTTTTATTTTGAAGGTTTGTCTTGTCTTCAGCTGAGAGTACTTTATTTGCTGTGTTCTATTATTTTGAAAAAAAGTAAGGCCCTCCTGTAGATGGAAGGTTAGGACATGAAGTTAAGCACAGAAACAGGAAGTGGTGAGGGATCCCAAAGTGAGGTCAAACAGCTCAAAGGAACGGTAACAAAGGTCAACATGTGATGTCATAAGGTGGATATTAGCTGAGCTGTCTGAGAGTTTGTTAAAGTGAAATTAGACATTCAAAGATGCAAGAGTGCCTTTCTTTTACATCACTGAGACTACAGGGAGACAATGAGGACGACTATCTACGGAGAGCCTGAAGGGACAAACATCAGATTAATCGTGATTAACTCGTTAATGCTGACAGCCGTATAAATTATATCTACATCTTTACAATCTAATATATTATTATACATGATAAACGTATTTATACATAACACTGTGTGCTAACGTTGTTCCTCTTTTATTTACTGCTTCTCTGATTGGACGAGCAGAAGGTAAACATTCAGGGTTTCATCCTTGATCTGCATCTCTCTCTTTAAAGTTTCATCTTTAATAAATAAGTTTTTATTTGAATAATTAATAAATCAAGGTGAGATTCTGTCCACACTGTGATGATGTCAGGGATCACAACTGTGCTCTCACCTGTGGACAGGTATCCATCAGCATCCTGGACGAGAACGACAACAGTCCCGAGTTTGACATCACGTCCGACACGTCAGTGGACATCTCCGAGAACACGGAGATGGGGAAAAAGGTGGCCGTGGTCCTGGGGAGGGACAGAGACGCCGGCTTAAACGGACTGGTGAGAAAAAAAGAGAGTTTATCATGAACACCGTTACAGAATGAATCATCATCACTGGAATCATTATTATTATTGCTATTATCAGGGGCGTGTCCAGAGGCCCCCCTTGAAATCTAATTGGCCACCACAATAATCCCCAACTATGATTGGCTATTTGCTTCATCAGAGGCGGGACTTAAGTTACAATCAACTCTTAAGACTCTTATTTTTCTTTGTTTGTATTTTTATTGTCTTTTATTTTGTTGAGCAGTATATAAAGACTTTGATTTTCCTGAGACAAGAGACTACCTCCGGCACACACTCTGACTTCCTGTTGACTAACTAGTGATGTGTTAGGATTGCCAATTCAAGAATTTTGCTTAAAACTGTGACTTTGGGATCGCCGATGACTTAGCGCCTATGTATACACAGATTCTATAGGTACTGGGTTCGAATCCGACCCTTTGCTGCATGCCCCCCACTCCCCTGCTGTCACTTCCAGTCTCTCTTCAGCTGTCCTCTCTAATAAAGACAAAAAGGACTGAAAGTGTTCTGAATTTGAAACGATATTAATTCCTGCTTGAACAAAAAAACAACAAAAATGAGTGAGTCCTGGACTCTTGAACATTCGTATAATATATAAATATAAATATCATTTATCATTTACCCCCCTCTCTGTCTCTCAGGTGAACTTCACTCTGGTTGCAGGAAACATGGAGGACGTCTTCATGATCAAAACAGTGAATCACACGTACGGAGAAGTTTACGTCAACGCTGCTCTGGACAGAGAGTCAGTGGACCGATACCTACTGAGGGTCAGACACACACACACACACACCTACACACAGACACACACATATACACAAACACACCTACACACACACACATACACATACACACACACACACACACACACACACACACACACACCTATACACACACACACACACGCACGCACACACACACACACACACACACACATATGTACCTCACGTGTGTAGCATGCAGTGTGGTGGGTGTTTATTTAGCGCGCCGTTTGAAGCCGTGACATTTACGCCCTCTGTGATGTTTGTGGCTCTGTGTGTGTACAGGTGCGCGCCATTGACAACGGCTCGCCTCCCCGACACACAGACCACGCCCTCACCATCAACATCCTGGACATCAACGACAACGCTCCTGTGATGGAGAGCCAGAGAGGATACAACGTGAGCATCAGCGAGGCGAGTAGAGAGATATTTATCATGTTTATTACATTTAAACCTTTGAAACATGATCATCTGTGTCACATTGATCTTTGACCCCTCCATCTGCAGAATGTGGGCGGGGGTACGTCCGTCCTGAGAGTGACAGCTACAGACCAGGACATAGGGCCCAACGCCATGCTGTTTTATTACATCACGGCGGGGAACAAGGACCTGACCTTCAGGATGGACCGTGTGACCGGAGAGATGGTGACCCGACCTGCTCCCCCCGACAGAGAGCGGCAGCAGGAGTACCGCCTCATCATCACGGTGGAGGACGACGGCACACCGCCTCTGTCGGTAAGAAACATCAAAAAGAGCACGATAAAAGTTTACATTTCAGATCAGACGTGACAGAGACGCAAACATCAGAGCTTCCTGTTCTGCTACAAGCTCCTCCTCCTGTGTGTGTGTGTGTGTGTGTCACTGTGAGTGTGTGAGTGTGTGTTCACATGTCTGCATGTCTGCAGATGATATTAGGATGAGATGCTCCCATCAGACACACTCAGGTGTCAGAGGTCAGAGGTCACACACACACACACACACACACACACACACACACACACACACACACACACACACACACACACCACACACACACACACACACACACACACACACACACACACACACACACACACACACACACCACACACACACACCACACACACACACACACACACACACACACACACACACACACACACACACACACACACACACACACACACACACACACACACACACACAGTGTAAGAGCTCCACTTTATTGAAAAAGAGAGAACTATGAAGAAGCTTTATACAGAGTCAACACATACATTTAAGAGAGAGCATACAGTTATCATAAAACACACACACACACATTTTTGGTTCAATTATATTATTTATACGTAGAAACATCGTCGTTGTTCGGTCTCGGCTACATCAAGTTGACGTTTTAGAATTTTACACATTTTAACCTCAGAATGAAAAAAATATTAAAACAGAATAAAAGAAAACAATATTTCAATCTGACTCTTCCCCCCCTCTCTCTCTCTCTCTGACTCCTCTCTCTCTCTCTCTCTTTCTGACTCCTGCCCCTTTGGTTTGTTTTTGTCACATAATAATGATAATTAAATGCTTTTATTAACATCACATTGCACATTAAAACATAGATTAAAAAAAACATGATATATACATCAGTGATAAAAACCCTAAAGTCCGAAGGCGCACTCGTGTTTTATCAGGGGGGAACTGGACCTTGTGTGAGTGAACAGACGGTTTACAGAGGAGACACATATTTATCTTTACATTCAGGAAATAATCTGTGAACCTTCAATCATCAAACTTCATATCAACAAGTTTTCAAAGAGTCAAAAGAACTATCAAAAATACAGCAGGTGATTTTATGGAGACACAGGGAGGGGGAGGGGGGAGGAGAAAGCCATGAAGAAGTTCCTCCAGAAGGTGCAGAGGTGAAGCTGACTGAGACTCTTTGGTTTGAAGCTTTGATCTAAACTTTCTTAAAGAGACAGACGTAGGTGTGAGCTCACCTGTTCAGGTAGAAATGAGAGGAAGGTTTATGTTATGTTACAAAGACGAGTTCACATGAACAGAAAGTCTGACCATCACATCCTAATGGGGGGGCCTGCAGCAGGTTTTGATTGACAGGTCCCGCCCCCCTGTGATTGAAGTAAGGCTGCAGGTGAATGTCCTGAGTGAAATTTCACAGGTGAGGAGATGAAGCAGTCCAAGACCAGTTTGATCATTTAGTATAAATATTAATGATGTCACCCTGCATCACTCTGTCCTTTAAATACTGTGATTACGTCCAGTTCTATATGTTCATAAAGAGACAAAATCAGACATTTCCAGGTGTGTGAAAACAGCTGTAAGAAACCCTGCAGGAGCTGCTCTGGTCTTTGTTGATGGTGCAGATGACTGCAGAACTGTTTGTAGATAAAAAGCTGACGAGCTGCAGGAAACCAGCAGAAAGAGTCCAGCAGGTGGAGACAAAGGGCTGATTCAGGGTCAGCAGGTGTTCCCTTCCTCACACCTGCAGGAGGTCAGGTGACTCAGGGATGGTGTCTGATGAGAGGAAACATGTCAGTTAGTGAGAGCTTCATGTTTAACTCTGCAGTTTAGACACTGTCAACTTCCTGTCTTTAACACACACACACGCTGTCGCCTCAGAGCTGTACACACACAAACTTCTCATAAGTGGACGTGTTTCACTGGAAACTCGTTAAAAAGGGAACAAAGAGAGCTGAAGTTACGACATGATGGACAGAAAGAGGAACACTGAGCAGATCATCGTCACAGACACCAAGAAAAACAAGCTGAAGGAACGCTTTACACACGATCATTTAATAAAGCAGGACGAGTGTGTGCTCCGAGAAGAGTTCTGCAAACACACACACACACATGCACACACATGCAAACACACACGCACACACATACATGCACACACACACACACACATATGACCACACACACACATGCACACACACGCACACACACACACACACACATGCATACACACACACCTAGGAGAGTAGGAGAGCGTGTGTGTGTGTGTGTGTGTGTGTGTGTGTGTGTGTGTCTTTGTGTGTGTGTGTGTGTGCGTGTGTGTGTGTGTGTGGGCAGTAGGAGTGACTGTTTCCATCCACACTTTCTGTAAGGGAACTTTTTATCGTCAGTGAGGTTGACAGTCAGCAGAACTTTCTGTGGGGGAGGATCCTTCATCCCATCCCAGATAAACAATTATTATCTACAGAAGAACGTCATGTTTCTGACTCGTTTCCACAGTAACACGCGGATCAGTGTGTGAGCTGACTTCTAGAGGTCTGAAACTGGTCTCTGTCTCGGAGTTTCTCTCAAAAAGTTTCCGCTCGTCTCTGTTTGGGTCACAGTCTTTAAACACACTGTGTCCTCTGTAGCTGTTTTCACATATGCACTCCGGATAATATCTAGATATTTACAGGAGGAACGCTCCGGAGATTCTCCCGAACTAGCCGTTCACATATGTTCCTCACAGCAGGGGACTTTCCCTGTCAGAGGGAGGGGGGGGCGGGGGGATTTCCCAAAGTAAGACGTGACGTAAATAAACAACGCTGAAGTAGCAGCCGAAGCAACAGAAGCTACACGACGTTATAATGAGATTATTTGCCTTTATATCAATGCTGTGTGTAATCCAATGGAATGACAACATCCACAAAAGAGAGGAGAACAACAAACTGACGAACAGAAAACATAATGCAGCCATTTAATTACGTGCACACAGATCGTAGTGGTCGCGTGCAGACACTTTCAGGAGTCACTGTATATAAACGTCATTCTCTTATCATTGGCTGAAATTGAAATCTCCGGAGTATATGCTGCCGCGTTCAGACATCAGCTCACTGGGATATTCTACAGATAAAATACTAGGGGTCTGGCCGGATAAACTCCGGGTAAAGTCCGGGTGAACCCGAAGGGAGAGGGGTTGGAGGTGTGTCACTGGATGCCGGAGGTGTGGCCAAAGCAGCAAAGTGTCATCAAAGTCAACGTGCATTTGTGTGTGTGTGTGTGTGTGTGTGTGTGTGTGTCCCACCTTCTATGGGGAAGAACACGTCCCCGTGTGCCGGAGGAGAGAGGGGTGTTCCAGGTTCAGACAGCAGGTGGCGCCCCGTCTCTGAGGACTGTCTGGTCATGATCTGAGACACGGTGCGAGTCCTTGCCTGAGGGGACTCACCAAAAAACACTGGGTTCTCGTGACCCTGAGCCTCACTGGACGCACACACACAGATAAAAAAAGAGAGGCAGTGTGAGAACAGCTGCTGTGACTCAGTCAGACCAAACAGTTCTGGGACTTTCTGAAGAGGAACTATACTCTGAGAACTTCAACTGGGAGGACTTTTTTTCCTGTCAGCCACACACACATTTATATTAATCCGTTCAGTGTGTGTGAACAATAGGGCCTGATCACACACACTGTTGTTTAGTCAACAGGTGTGTGTGTGTGTGTATGTGTGTGTGTGTGTGTGTGTGTGACTGAGCGTGGGAAACTCACCTGTCCATCCTGACCAGCTCTTGGGCACCTGACAGGAAACAGGAAACAGGACATGAACCATAATGAAACACTGTGTGTGTGTGTGTGTGTGTGCGTGTGCGTGTGCGTGTGCGTCATACATACGTCTTGATTTGTGTGTTTGTCTCTGTTTGTACACCAGCAGCAGGATCAGAGGCAGGGCGAACAGAGCTATGATGCACGCGGAGGCCGCCACGACCACAGGTGCCAAGCCTAAGAGAGAGAGAGAGAGTTAGGGTGTTTTCACAATAGGCAAGACTGCTCCCCTCCCCCGCTGGTCTGCTTTCCGTGCATCATCGTTCTGTACCTGAGTACACCTGCGTATGTACACCGTCTGATACAGCAGGGGGCAGTATGCACATAGTCGCTTTGCAAATCCGCCAAATAGCAGAGAAAATAAGTAACAATAGCAAACAACTCCCAGTCTGAGTCTATCATGCTAACTGTGGATGTTTTTGTTATTTCTGAGATGCCTCTTCATACGTCAACATCTACCGTGCACCTCAGAGGAGGAAACAGGTCCATGTTGCGTGGATACAACGGTTTATGAAGTGACAGGAGCCGTTTAGACGTAATATACCGGTCCACTTCCTTGTTGGAGCACGGTTTCTATTCTCTCCCGCGGACTTTACTTGAGTAGATATGAAGCGTAGCATAGACCACCTCCTCAAGTGGACTTGGGCAGGGTATCTGAGTAGGGTACGTTTGTGTTCACACTGATCAAATGAACCAGACTTTGGGGTCAAATTAACTCAGATCTGGGCCCGGGTCCATGTGAAACCACCCTTAGAGAGACAGAGAGTGGCTGCTCTGTGATTAGCCGAGAGGCCGCATCATGTGACTCACTTCCAGCTGGAGCGTTGTTCCACACAGTGCACTCCTGAGACCCGTTCCTCCCTGCAGACAGAACACAGATTATATCACTGATCAGAGTCTCAGAAACAGCAGAGATGAAATAAAGATTTAAGGCTGTGGTAATCCGTTTGATCTATAACCATGGTAACAGAAAGTTCCTGTTGCTGTGAGTCAATCAATCAATCAATTTTTATTTGTATAGCGTCAACTCATGAGTCAGGACAGTATGAGAACACCTAAACATGACAACACCTGAACATGACAACACCTGGACATGACAACACCTGGCCATGACAACATCTGGACATTATAACACCTGGACATGATAACATCTGGATGTGAGAGCACTTGGTCATGACAACACCTGGACATGACAACATCTGGACATGATAACACC